GGACTCAGCTCATGAATTTGCCTCAGTGCAGTTCAAAACCTCCTTACAGATTTATGTATTACACTAGATATGCCGGGGGGTGGGGGGGGGTTAATATGTATAATAACATGAGGGAATTTCCAGGCTTGATTCAGATCAAACTCAGGTGGCAGCACACCAATCTGACCTTCCAAATGCTTAGATAAATATGATTAACAAGATGACTGCCACTGCAAACAATACAGTGATGGAGATCAGAGATAAAGATATCAACTGTGAGAACAAGCGTGCATTGTAATGGCATGCTAGAAATTGTAATAGTGTGCTTGAAATAATAAACTGTGGTGTCAGTGGAACTTGACAATGCTTTTAAAGTTGAAAGCATGAGCTTAGAAGTAGAGGGTTTATATAATGACATTGCATAGTGTAAACAGATTAAAATCATATCCAAGTGCTATCAATTTTAACTTTTAACTAATGTCAAACCTGGTCAGTGAGCTTTTTTATATGGCTGTATTACAGTATTAGGTTTCTTTAAAAGGGTGTGTAGTATTGTATCTTTTAAAAAGGATTGAAAAAGTACATCAAATGTGTTATCATAATGTTCTGATAACACACATGATGTCTGCTAAACCTGTCCCCATGTACAGTCATATACCCATAAACTCGAAGGTTATGACCAAGATGAACTCAGGAGGAAACATGCAGGAAGGTAAATAATGCATGCCTGCACAGGACAAGAGAGAAGGGTGTAGCTTAAAGTGGTAGGAGTGGATGGGCTGGGGGCTTGTGGGGGCTCGCTTATGCGTGCCAGCCTCAGACAGCTCACCACAGGAGAGACGCAGACACAAAAGAAAACTCACTGCCATCGTCACGAAAACAGAAATGACACTAGGCAGCCACAAAACAAGCCAGCCTGAATTTTCATCAAAACAAACATGCGAGCTGACATGGTGTGACTTACACTATAGCCACTGTCAAAATAGTTGAGCAGTACTTATTTGACAGTAAAAGGCCACATCAGGTCTTGTTTATACTGCTGGGGACCTCAAGACTTCCCTGGGATCATTTAGGCTCCAGCCTGAAACTCTCATCTGACCCAATTATCCAATTAGCTGAAGTAGTGGCGAGACTGGAAGGTGATGACGGCTGGGACACCTGCAGAGGCTGTGCCTGGTGTGGGGCCCGGGGGTCCTAAAGAGCAGCTCTTTCTCAGCTAAACCTTACCTAGTTTAATTCTCTCCCGCAGGAGCACAGTGAACTCTTTGGTGTGGCTTTGAACAGGATGAGCTATTTCTCTTAGAGTAGTGTCTCTACAGAGTATTAACCATTTTTCAGCTGGACATCGCCATACAGGCTTTAATGGCAGTCTGGGCAGCAGTAAGCAAATGTAACATACTAAAATGTTCTTAATTGCAAATCCATGAGTGCTACTTGAAGTAGAAGATGAAATAATTACATGCCTTTGCTGTTGGACCTCATTGTCCTCTCTGACTGCAAGACCGACATGACAGCATTAAGGCTTTGGACTGTGGTGAGAAACTCTAGAAGGGTTGACATACCATTGTTACGTGACTCCAAGTGCTTACATCCTTCCGTCAGTTTCCTAAATAGAGTAACATTTTAAAAAGAAACCACAACATTTCTGTTTGCCCTGCAGGCACTTCCCAATGGGACAAAGAGCAGCCTTGGCTTTTGACAGCTCCGCTGAAGGTCTGGCTGCCACTTCCAAGAGCCAAAGCATTTTTCTCCCCCTCAAGACATTTTCCTCCTTTCCTCAAGGTAATTCGACAGTTGTGTGGTCACATACTTGCACACTCCCTCTTTAGATGCAGAGAATTAAGGGATTAGGGCACAATCCATAGGAAGTGATCTTCACAGGGGCCTGACGCTGCTTTGATTTGTTTGTCAAGTTTTTGTTTGATTTTTCATATAAAACGACATCAAGCTTTGATCACAACTAACCACACTAATGGTGAAGCACCAGATTTTTTTAAGATGACAGGGAGTAAAAGGAAAAAAACCCTGGCAGCAGATCTGAAGGTAGGATGTTTTTCTTCCCCATTCCACTTTTTTTCTTTTCAGGATTATGAAAAACAAATGGATGACTGAAGTGTTGAGATCGGTTACACACAGGTGAGGGTGTGTCTTTGACAAGAAAGAACTGACAGACAATCCTGAGTGCGTTAGTCCATTGCAAAGAGGTGCAGAGTACCGCCACAATGGCAGCACAACAGGCAATTACGTGTCACACATGACATCCCTTGTGCTTCTGTGTGTATAATTACACTGAGGAAAATGACATTCTTCTCCAAACAAAGCAACACCAACAACTACTTTTACATCGTATAAGGAAAGGCATATACTTTTCATTCCAAGCAAGCAGAGGGAGACAAGACACTACCAACTATAAACAAGTTTACTTTCCTAATGACGTTTATCCTTTTAACTACCTTTTAAATAAAAGATGGAGCCCTTGCATGACTTTGTCTGATAGCCGACTTCAAAGTCAGTCTCACTTGAAGACATCTGGCTAATTTGTCAGAAACAATAATCCCATCACCAACTCTTGTCAATTAAGACTATGATGACACACACCACAGAGAAGAGGGGGATAAAGGAGCAGAATGAATCCGACTTGTGTGAAGGCTTGGCCTCACATACCAGCTACTAGCCACAAGAAAGGGCAGTTCTTGGCCTCAAACAGAGTAAGCACTGATGAATTTCAACCAAAGAGACACAAGGCCATTTGTGAAAACAGAGGGAAATGTTGAAGTAATATTCCACCAGGATCTCTTTACATTTCGCTGTATATTTATCTACAGAAACCATGTGAAGCATTCCAGTAATACCACACATTCTACCAAAGAACACTTCTTGCAAAATTAACTCTTCAATCTATCTAGACATCCACAATCTTGTCATATTGCCCCTTTCATATCAGTACTATCTGGAAAGTCCATTTATGCAATCAAATTTTAAAAGTCTTCATGACTTCATACTAAACATTTATAGCTAGTCTACTCTGGTTTAATGTATAAAAATGTAATTTGATGACAGTGAAAATTTGATTAGAACATAGTGTGGCCTGCTTAATTGTGTCATATTTCTTCCATATTCTGCTGTAATTGTAATTGTATGGTTTTAGTTAGGTTTTGTAAAGTTTTAAGAAAATGCTAAAATCGAGCTGCTTTTAGAAAAATGTGGCCCGTACAAAAAGGCTTGAAATATATTAACTTTTTTAAGGTTTCCAAATCGATAGAAGCCCAGAGTGCATGTACTTCCTGCCAGTTTTCACGCTCATCTAATTGGCAACAAGAATTTGGGTTACATCTGCTCTGAACTTTGCCCATGCTTCACCTTTATCGCAGGTCTGAAACTAGATCTGGATCAGGGAAACTAAGAGAGAGGCTCTGAAAGGCAAATAACATTGTTACAATGAAATATGAAGCCATGTAGTATCCTAACCTCAGGCTGAGTTAGTGGAGAAAATGAAGACTGACAGGAGTAATGTGAGGGTGGGCCCACAGATAAAGGAACACCCAGGGTACGAACAGTAGCTGCCGCTTCTTGCATCACTCAGCGCTCTGAACGTCTTGGAGCTCGAGTCTGTGCTGCTCTCTTCAGCATGAGGAGAGAAGGACATTTTTCAAATACCTGAAGAATATTTACACACCTGCTCAGTGTGAGGTAGAGGTGCACAGAGCAGTCACAGCACAGCTCTGTTTGAGGCCCCTGAAGAGACAATAGCGTTTAAACTTGAGCAGTGGACTGATTGACACTATTCAGGCCTGACAACAAAAACTAAACTGTGTAAACATTTGCACATTTGTATCCATAGATCTAAACCCCTGAGGTGAAGCATAGGAGGGGTCAGATTGTACCTATTTAACACAAGCAAATTCAGGTCCAGGATGATCAGTGTTCGCACAAACTAACTCAGACAGCAGGTGGAACAAGCCTGTTGAGGGTAGGCTTGGGCAGGGGGGTGGAGGGTCTGCCCCAAGGGCAGGTACCTGCAGTGTAATCATGGCCTTGGCCAAATTACAGGCCAAAAACACAACTAAGCGGAGTTCAATCCAGGGCTGAGGGAGAGGTCACCCATTATACTAATATTCTTAAGTCACGGAGCAAATTCCGATGTACAATGTCAACACTAGAAGGCAGAGGGAGGCCCTACTTATTCTAGGTATTCTAAGTGTATAGGCACACTAGCTCCCCTTTGTTTATAGCTTCAAAAAAAAAAAAAAAAAAAAGCTTTCAGCAGGCAAATAATAATAGCATTACAGTCAGCTCAATGCATTTTTGAGTTGCGTAGCAAAAGAGGAATGTAAAGTGCCTAAAAAATTGAGTCGCGCCAGCTCTTACAGCATTTTCTAGAACACAGGCAACACTAAGGAGGAAACTGTGGATGTGGGTGTCTGTCAACAAGAAAGTTTATGTTTGTATAACATGTAAACAATAAATCTATTATGCCTTATAAGACCAACAGATATCTTGCCAGCCCTGTGACTAGTCCTAATTACTTTCTTCCCAAAAGGAAATTGGTACTTAAAAAATAAACAGATTAAAGACCAGAAATATTTGCAGTGTTTACTGCAACTCTTGAAACAATTACACAAGCCATGTGTTTAATATTTGTTGCTTCATGGAATCTTTGTAGTTTAGGTAAATTAGGTATGGTTAATCATTTGTTTTACACAGAGATACCAGTTTATTAGATATACCTGTATAATCCTGCAGTAACTCCCATCTTTGTGAGGCCTATAATGTTCTGTTTTCAGTGACAGTGTAATGAAGAGGCGAAAATTAAACTCTATGATCAGATAGTGAGGGTTGAACAACATTCATCACGTATTATCTAGTTGTACACTAATATGAGTCGTGCTGTGATTAGGCCCTACAAATGGTGTGTAACAAGCCAAAACAAACAAACACACACAAAGAGAGAAAACACACACTCACACATGCTGAAATAAACATCCAGGCCCTTGTTTGGCCTTGTTCTGCAGATAACTGACCTGGTTGATGGAATTGGCAGAACAAGAGGCGAGGCCTGTTCCCAGAGAAGATACGAAGAACATGAGAGGGTCAAAGGGCACCGGAGCCATTGCATATCCAGCTGCTGCAGTTGTAACCACCAACGCTGAAACCATCAAGCAAGAATAATAGAACAGGAACTTAATTGCCCGTCTTTAAGTATTTCTACAGGTAATGAGCACTGCTAATGCAATGCTTTGTTGCTGTAGAAGCCTGACTCAACATAAACAGGAAGAGTGCGAAGGAAACCAGAAGTTAACAGCAGATTATAATCCATCCTAGTGCAAAATGAACTGCCTTATCATGCAGTCTTTTTATTTATTTTAAAACAGCGCGCCTTTAAGTCAACCAATCATTCTTATTGAGTGGAACTGAATAAATGGTACTGCATGACACTGACCGCACAATTTGCTTATCCACTGTTGAACTGTGTTTCTCCACAAACATAGCAAAACAAACTACAGGCTCCCCGTAGCTCCGAAGCTCAACTAAAAGTGGCATATTCAGCGATTCGCTGCAAAAAGCAGTGTTGTTTGAGACAGACTGGGCATACAATCACCAGCAGAAGAGTGGATTATCTTGCACATCTTATCTACTGTGACAATGGCCTGACTATGAGACAACAAGGAGTGCACCAATGCAAAGCCACAGTGGTACTTTTACCCTAGACTTACTCACTGAGTGAATGAGATGAATGAATGTCTTTCCTGCTTGCACAGTTGTAATCTGTATATAATAAATAAGCAGGTGCTTTGTTTGTGGAGTAATTATTATCACTGTATTTGCATAGACATAACTTCAGAGATATAAGTGATTCTGCATGTATTTCAGGTAATTGCTTGCATGTGTTAACTTCTCTCTGCAAATATTATATGCTGTAATCAAGATGTACCGTGTACTCTACCTGTAAGCTTGATTTTGGCCAGTCTGGCATAGATATCCGGTAGGTCAGCCATATGAACCTTCAGCTGCTTCCATTGTCTGTCTAGACGTGCCTCCCTTGCCTCTTCTGTCTCCACCTGGATATGTGGAGTCTCACCTGAAACCGCGACTGTTCTGCACACAGCATCTTTCTGCACTGCCACATCTTCTGCAGTGGAGTTCAAAGTGGAGACTTCAGGCTGCGTCTTACTGGTGACATCCTCTGACTGCGGCACAACCTCTGTGGCCACAGGATCAATAGTTGGTATCCTCTGTACCTGCCTCTCAACACTGTCCTCCCTTTCATCCACAACGGTGAGGACAGGGGCCTGTTTCGGGACGGCACGTTGGTGAAGCTCACTGCTGCTCTTTGCTACATACTGAAAGGAAAACAGGTAGACAAAGTGATTCATAGATAGATAGATACTTTATTTATCCCCTGGGGGAAATTCATGAATATCATGGGATAATTTGCTCAATAAAACTGAAGGAAAGTATTTCAAACAAAATAAGTACACAGTATCAGTAGTGTGGTGGAGGGAAATGCATTAATGACAAGCAACAGGAATTGTTTTTAACTGAAATTGTGCCGAGTGAAAGCTACCTGGCGTTTAAGGAAGGTAAGATGCTGATAAGTCGACCAGTTTGATGGATCTCTTCTGTGCAGCTGAATAAGGCTCCGAGCAGCCTGGTTACATCGAGGAATATTTTGAAGTAGTTTCTGTTTCACACTCACACCAACCAAACCTACAAAACACACATACAGATGTTTAGTTATCAATATGAATATTGTTGGTTCAGTTTGATTATGTCAGTAATAATAATATACAAATAAGTTATACACCAAAACTAAAAACGCAGAAAACCAAGACAAGTTAGGGATGCAATTTAAGATTATTTTATACTAATTAATCTTTTAGTGAAAAAACGCCAATCACAGAGTCCAAAGTGACGTCTTAAGATGTCGTTTTGTCCGATTAACAGACCAAAACCCATCAACATTCAGTGTATTATAATATGACATACAGCAGCAGGAAAGCCTCCCATTTTAGAAGCTGAAACCTGACAAATTGCAGCATTTTTTCACATTACTTCTCTACTACGTGAAAAAATGTATCCATTATCAAAATAGCTGCTGATTATTGTTCTGTTAATCAACTAATCAATTAATTGACTAATTGTTTGATTTTTGTGCAGATTAAATTAAATTAAAGATTAAATTGTGCATGGAACACACACAAAAAAAAGACAAAAAAATAAAATGAAAAAAAATGAAACAATAATAACTATAAATAGAAACTGTAAATGGCATATAAGACAAACAATGTATTATGTGTGAATTTGAAGCATGACCAAACACTAAAAGTCATAACATATTTCCATGGTGCTCCTAGGCTTCCCAAATTATAATTACGATAACATCAAAGAGTGTTTTGACTTAGCCTCACTTTATGCCTCACATGCATTAACAATAATGATAATACAGCTAGGATTTTGTCTTGATGTGCATCAGGTAACAGACACAAGTAAACTTATAGTTAAGACATGCAGTACTGTGCAAAGGTTTTAGGAACTTTAGATGTTTAGATTCTTATCCATCATACTATACCATCAAGGAGCCCTCTGATTGTTCCCAAATTCACTCATGAAGAGATAGAAGACACTGAGACAGCCTAAATCCACAGAAAAGATGTGGCAAGGAAACTATAAAACTGTGCACAAGTGTACATACAAGAATTGGTTTGGTTTTGCAGGTAATGGGTGGTTACACCAGATACTTATTTGGTTTAGGTTTTTTCCGTTTACTGCACCATGAAGCCATTCATGGCATTATTTTTGAAGGCACCATTTCGGTACCTAAAACTTTTGGACAATAATGTATGTGTATTCAAGTTATGAGACTAACAACCTTCACACAGACTCAGGTGCTTATTCATTAGCTACCTTTAGCTCAAATAAATGCATTGTAATACTGTAATCTGCACTAAATCGTATCTTCATCAAGGTTATAATGCTCAGCTTTTGTTGTTTTCGAAAGGTGTTGGTTCATCTTTATAGTTATTTTGGCAATTAGTTATTCCAAACGGTGTTCTAAACATTTTATACACCCAATTTACAATGTTGAGAGCACTCTCCAATATTAGCAACACCTCAGTTTAACGCAGTGGACACAAACATTATACAAATGTATTGTCGATAGCATCTTTAATACCTATCTGTCACGTAACCATTATAAAGCCGTTGTTTTAAAGCTTTCCCTGTTGTTTAAGGAACATACAGTTGCACAATAATAGTTGAAAAATTGTCGTAATAAAAGCAGTCAGTAACTGTGTTATTTTGGTCACTGCAGATGCAGTTGACTTCTATCTAAGGTCACTGTTAGCCTCTTGCCAAACATCCACCCGTATAGCCATATGCTAAGCTAGCCGGCTAGCTTCCGCCGTAGCTCCAGAGGCTGTATTCAGCGGGCGAAAATGAAAAATGACATTAAATTGTAACAGCACATTACACATAATGCCATATTTTCTCCGGTGTTACCTGACAGTCTGCTACATGGTGTTTTATACATGTTCTGGGTTCATAAAGCCGGCTCCGTTTCGACCCTTTCACATGCAGCGTGCCGCCATTTTGACCTCGTTAGGTAAAGACAAACGGTTCCGGGTCATACGACGTCACTTAGTCCGTGAGATGCGGAAACTGGATTTAAGAAGCATTTTATTTTCTTGACGCTTTCTATTCTACCCCAGGACTAGTTGCTTCACAAGGTAAGTTTTCCGCATAATAAAACAAACGAACGGCTTATAAAATATGATGATTTGTTATAAATTAAACCACGCAATCGTTGGCTGCAAGTACAGGATTCAAAATTAATTACAGAAAAATAATATGCAACTTTTTTGATAATTGTTTATTTTTCATGCCAAACATTTAATGAATTCACCTTCTTAAATATTAATGTGCTCCTTTTTAAAAAATTATTTTAACAATTAAAAAAAAAGTACATTGTTAAGTGTCACCATGAGCTTTTAAGAGCATTTCTTCAGAATAATTCATAATGAAAATTATCGTTAGTTTCACTCCCATAGAAAAAAGGTTTTTAAAGAAATACATCCAACTCAACCAAGAACAACATTAGAATGCACTTACACAATAGTCAGTAGTAATAATAACCATATACTAAGTATAATGTAACACATGGACAATGGACATTCTGTCCTTAAGGACTACAGTTACTTTTGATATTTTAATTACATTTAAGTAAAATTATGAAGGCAGAACTTGTACATTTAATTGAGTATAGTCTTGTATTGCTACTTTTACTTAATAAAAGAAATCAGTACCATTGTGTTGTAATGTAATGAGAATTACCATAAGATTACTTCTAAAACTACTTCTACCATGTTGTATATGGACATAAGGACTATAAATATATATCTGTTCTGTATTACAGTATTGTAGATTTTACATGGGTAGTGAATTTCATACCCTTATTATTTGTTTTTAAATAATATTCCTTTGTGGTTTCTGTAAGTGTGTTTTTCATGTCACTGTCACTGTTAATGGGACATTTGAATAGAATGGAGCTATTGTTAATGGTTTTAGTAACACTTGTGCTTTTCCTGCTATGACAGCTGAAAATGTCTGCTGTGAAAAATGAATGCATCTAGTCTGCTATTACTTACTGATTTAACCACTTTAATTCCTTGTGTTCCATGTGTGACCTTTCTAAGGTTTCCCCAGGTGGTTGTTTAGCAGGGTCAAGCCTCCAAGATCCTCATATAACTCATCATCTTTATCGTTTTAGATGACGGACTAAACAAAAGCCAGTCATTAAATATATGACATCTGCTGTGTGAAGTAGTACCTCTGCCCTTTTTCACTGAATGTTAACGTTTCATTTCATACTTCATTTTTCATAGAGGTACATTAATTTCTTATTATGGTGTGACCCACTGAATCATTGTAGAAAACCCTCATTTGTCCCCTTCCAAACAGTTGTGTCTGTAGCAGTGTGTCATTGTTGTGATTTGATGCTATAGTTTCAAGAAGAAGCATATTCAGCTAATTTGAATGATTTCTTTTTACACCTGAAGAACTTCAATCAGTTCAGCTGAATTACAGTAATATGTGACTAAATGTGTTTACTTGTAACAAACACTGGTTGGCGTTTTATGTTTCGAGGAGTGAGGTTACCAGAAAACTGGTGTCATTGAACAATAAATCTGAGCTGAAGATGGGTTTCATTTAATTCAAAATTGCCGTCTAATTCAATGTCTGGCCTTTTGCCTCCCGCCCTTGTGTGTCCTCTGTCTAGCCCCGCTGTTTGGCCTGTTATTTATGTGTATGATCATCTTGTTGGCCCTGGCTGCCATGGCCAACAAGATGGAAACCTTCTGATTAACACCCTCTCCGCTGCTTTCACTTTTGCAGCCCGACTTTATTCAAACAAAGATAATAAAAGAGTATGATTGTTTGTTTCGGTGCAGTGTTTCATTTCCTTGAACAATAACATTTTACTGACCCACGAGGACGATAATCACGGTCATCTGATTGGAGAGATCGTATTCAATATAAAAGAAAAATATCCACTCATTCAATTTCAAGGCAATCTAACTTTGCAGTTGTCACGTATGTTTGTATGTGTGTTGGTATATAGAGTACACAGAATCCTATGACGCGTATTATTTGTTTTCATGAATGGCCGTGATGCAAATATCCTTTACAATCACAGTTGTCTATGAACTCAAATCCCAGTGCAATCCAAGCTGAGCATCCAATTCTCCTGATTCATCTCATTCATTCCACTCTATTGCCAGCTCCTCCTTTCTCCCCCCCAAGATTACATGGTGTAATCTTCATGCACCATCAAGATGCAGGGGCTGATGAATGCCAACAATACACACAAGGCCATCCCAGATCCCAGCACAAGAGCACCTTTATTGCAGCAGATAACCGTTATGTGCTGTTCTACACGATTTCATTCTGCACTGACCCGGTCAACCTCTTCAGGTTTGGTTTTGATGTGAGCGCTGAAAAGGAGGTTTATTGCTTGGTTTTACACCATATTATTTATTTCTAGGGTGCTGTAATACAATTTCAATGTTCCATGTTTTGCTTCATTTTTGCTTCCGCGGGGCTGCAGGAATACAGGATCAAACCTGCCAAGTTTATGGCTGTGTAAGGCACTGTGTCAAACCATAATCTTTTGTATAGCAATCTGTAGGCTACCACTGCCGATGACTGACATGTCAGGGCCTCACTTTAACAAGCAGGCTCATTCATGAATACGCAGCTGTCCCTCTTCCTCTGGGCTGGAATGGAATAATATTTGTTTATTGCATCAAGAAATAGTTAATCCCCTGCGAGTTGGGCTAAATCAGCGTAATGATTTAAGAAACCAGTTCTCCTTATCCCCATGCCTGACCAGTAGTCTGGCAGCTCAGGCATACTGGCAGTCTTTTATCTGGGATTTTGTGAATTGTTCTCCTAAAGTCAGGAAGCTGCAATTGTTGTTGATAATTGCATGATTCACTCCAGTGGATAAAGACAAAGCCAGAAACATGCCTTTAATGCCTTCTGTCCATAAGGTGGACCAGAAGACAGGACCTGAGGAACAGATGGACAAAATGGGGTGGAATGGCTCGATAACAATAGGAGGAGTTTTGTGAGGTCTGTTCAACCCAACGGGGTCTTTCAAAAAGGACCCTTTACAGTTGTTCTACCTCTGGTGGTGGTCTCAGTATGAGGGCCTTTTATCACACTGCTTTCACTGCATCTTGAGAAAATGAAATGGCTGAAAACATCCTCTCCAGAGGGAAACAAAGACACAAAAGGAGTTAAAGGCTTGTATTGTGTGAGACTATGACGTGTAGTTTATCTTAGTAAAGGCAGGCTGATGTCAGCCAGGGAATGCTGGACCTGTAGTGGTGTCGAGTTGCGGGATGGGTTTGGAATTTAGTGTATTTGGAGAAATAGTCAAATATGACTCGGAGAGAACAATGGCAGATTTTTAATATTATATAATATTTAAAGTTTAGGCTCTGGTAAATGAGCTTACAATACAAAAGTAGCATTTAATGATAAAATAATATGTATAACTTTCTAAAATAAGGGTTTTTTCCCCTCTAAATCCTTTGTTATCTTAACCAAATGGTTTCAAAATGGCATCATTTATTTACATTCAAGCAAAGCAAAGACAAATAATTCTGAAGTGGAGAGCAGATGTCGGTAAGATTGATGGGTTAGCACAGTTTTAGGATCTCTGGCTGTCTGGTTTACTGTGAAGTTAGTGTGGAGAGAGGAATACAGGTCTCCTTAGCAATTTCATGGGTCCGGGAAATTACTCGGTTTTCTATTTAAAACACAGCTCCTTGGCGCTTTGTGGTGAAAAGGTGACATGTTGAATCAATTGAAGGTAGCATGGGCCCCAGGTTGTGTAAGCAAAGTGCTGAAGGGTCATTAATAGACAGTAATAAGAAGGGCCCTGTTACATGCAAACAGCCTGCTGCCCACATATGGCCCTCACAAAATGGCCAAATCATTTTTTATTCTAGTTTTACATGTCTCACACTGGGGAACACACTAAGCGCCTATAATGAGACCCCCCCCCCACCAAGAAAGCCCCAATAAATGGCCTAGTCAAATAACGGAGGCCTCCCAGACCTGTCATCGCCCCAGTTCATCTGCTCTGATTTACAAGCACTGTCCCAGAGGCTTTAGTGCCATCACTAATCCCACAGGGACGACCATCTGAATGGCAGTGGAGTCAGACCTTCAGAAAAAACAGAAAGCGGCAGACAGTGCTGCATAACTCCAAGCAGAAACAGATGCAGAGATGCTTCCCTGTTTATAATTGATTTTCAAGGGCAACATCTTGTTGTCATAGTTTGTCTAACGAGCCCCCGCCTGGCGCCCTGTTGCTCGTCAACCACAGGGTGTCAGATGGAGCAGCCGTTCACCACCCTACCCCTGACTGGGATGGCACCATGCTGAAATACTGACATCACTCATGGAATTTCCCAGTGGGGCACACTCTTGTTCTTGTTGTGCTGACATCTTTTTAAAAGTATTTTGAGTCGGTGAAGCATCCAAAACCTCCAGAGAAGAACTGCTGTGCTCCCCAGCTGCCGGCCGGAGGCCTGCCCTCTTTCCACGGACAACAGGTATTCTCAGGCCCTATGGCCGCCAATGTTTATGTCTGAGATCACGGGTGTCTTTGTGGGCCTCCAAGGCTAAGCCTCTAATTGGCCATGGCTCATCAATCACACAGAGCAACCCCTTTCACCCAAAGTCTCATCCAAACAGCTAAGAGAAATGAGACCCGTGGAATGGACTCTATGCCTCCCAAAGGCCTAAAAGTAGGCTTTGGGAGGGGCAAGTGGTTTGTGAGAAAGCCACACTTATTCCAAGTTTGTGTCAAGCAATGCATGCGTCTCTGCATAGACTGCTTCCTCTCACATCAAATTAACAAAATATATAGATGTATCACAGCAGTGTAGGGACTGGCTTACATGCTGTGATAACCAAACACTGATTTTGCATCTAGATTGAATCTCATTACAGCAGTTAAATGTTGGTTCAAGGAAAACAGACAAACATCATATTGTTCCTTATTATTAGTTTTTGCTCGAAC